TAACGTGATCATAGCGAAAACCTCAAAGAGGTCTTCCCTGGGTGAGAACGATTTGCTAGTTTTGCATGCCAAAAGTCAATTATGGCTTTTTGATGATAATCTTTATTACATTTTGAAATGTCGAATTTTCAGTGTCCGTCAACACACCTCAAGGAACGATTTTCTACAAGAAAGTCTCACTGGATCCCTCAATATTAAGACACTAACGAACATTGTTCTCTTTGAAGGAGAACTTGAACATCTGAGTGATTGGAGGAATAGTACGAGTGCGCTCCTTTGACGGTGGAAGGAGCATGCTGTGAAATAAGATGGTCAAACTTCTATTTGTATGTGGATATTTGTTGAAGTGCATATTTGGTTAATTTATTTATTTGGAGAATATTTATTTGGTGTGTATGTATTTGGTGCTATTTAACTTCGTCTTGCATATAAATTTGAAATTATTCGGTTCCCACCTTCTATAGAGGGCAGATCTTTTGACGCTCAGCCGCTACGGCGAGCTGAAAATCAGCATTGGTCACTTTACTGCTTGAAGGCGGATGGCAGCATAAATCGCGCCAGGGCGAATAGGGTAAATACGTCTCGCTTGGAAGAACATCGTGGCTTTGGGCAGGCACTGCCTGGCGTGTTTCTCGAGCGCACCGTTATAGCGTCTGACCAAGGTGCAACATGCCAACCCAGACGACGCCCACCGCAACTGCCAGCCCACAAAGGGCCACCCAGTCAAAGAGTGATACTATTATGGCTTTATTTATGAAATACAATTGACATGAAGTGCTGCTGCATGTGTATAAGAACATATACGAGTAGCCGTATCCACCAAAGTGTTGCTGGCACGATGCCAGCGGAAACTCGTCCAGAAATGCCGTTTGTATACTTTTCTCAGGTTTCCGGCTTTTTAACTACGCTTTATCGCCATTTTCTCACTATACAGCACTCCTGCTACTGATATTGTTGGATCCCTGGTTTCGGGGGTGTCGATGAGACGATTTGCACTGAACGGTTTATCCGGCCGCAGTACACCGCACAAAACTGACTCTAACAACCCTACCGCTCACTCACCTCTCTTAAATACGATCTCAAGAGAGGTGCGCAGTATCAAGCTTTATCAGTGTTCATTCCTGATACAATGATATTTATCATGCCTTACGCATTTAATGCGCCGAAGCCAAGCGTACATATGTCGCGGAATCCGTGAAATGGGGGTCGTATTCTAGCGACAGAGTGTCGTGTG